GTTTTCGTGGGGTGCCCCGCCAACGTGAAGCCGGCAACCGGTGGATGGCGTGGACTGCAGGACTGCACGAACGCGTTCTGGAGGCGTGATCGCCCTTGATGTTTTTTTTAGGTGAAACTCCTTGGAGTATACATTTTGGAATGGTTTTTCGGGTCCCGGCGGACATTCTGGTACGAAAATTACACCGGAATTGAATCTACAGTCCCCGCTCGCCGCGGGCACTGTGGCCCGCTCCTTCAGGTCCTTCCCAGAAGATTGCATTGCATGGATGCATATTGCTAAAATTATATGCATAAATTCATTCTTACAGGAATGAAATGTTGTCTTTGTATTGTGGGGCATGATAAAATCCACCTACACCCGATGCGGAAACCACAAACCTAATGGGGACCCTGTTTTGGTCACACAAATCGCATGTCTGGAGATGGTTATGCGTTTATCTTCTCGAGCGCTCCACAAACTTGAATTTGAACACTATTTGTTATGTTAAAATTGTCAGGAAGCATTCGAGGTGCTCTTTCCCAATCAATTTTTGTCGCAGCATGCTCCGTATAGCATGTTCAGGCGGAAGCTAGAACATGTTGGTCTACTTACCTGCAGGCATTCTGTTCATGGTCGTGGAAGTGTTTAAAAATTGTCTACAGTGTTAGTTAATGCATCAAAAGGGGCCTTTAGCACTCGTAGTCGTGTAGCATTGCAACGAGGCTCCTCGATCTTATCGGAGGACAGTTGTGAGCTGCAGCAGAGCCTCCCGTATTTTTCGTTTCTAGAGACATATATTTGTCGTCTTCCATACGAAGTTCAAATGCTCTAGCGAATCCGGAGGACCCCTTAGGTAATCCAGGGGCAGTGAAAGTGTAGCATAGTGTAGCACAGGAACGGTCAGTTAGCGTTGATAGGTTGCCTGCAAGCAAATACAAGTGCTCAGTTAAGCTTCTCTGAAGCTTCATTTTGCTCGCATATGAGGCTGGCTTGCATCGTTATCTAGAGCGACGTGCACTGCAACTCCTGTCAGGCGGCCCCTTCCCCGGCAATCCCAGGCCCTGAGATGCAATAAGCTTGGATACGGCCCAAAGAGGTCAGCTGCCTTTGGAAAACTGTCATCTCAAGTCGTTGGCCTTATTGCAACTCGTTACAGTCCTTCGGCAGTTGTAGCATGAGTTAGCGCAGAAGCTTTCACTTGGTTTTGGTACATTGCGTGTAAACGCCCGCAAACGTCCTACTAGTACGTTCAGAGGTAAAGCATGCAGCAAAGGAAGCTTCAGTGAAGCTTCCTCGCGTGCACGCGTGGGGCTTTCTTGTACTGCCAGCCGTAGCGGGGTGCGCTGCAACCCCATTTCTGTCTACCTCTTCCCCGCAACACCCAGGCCCTGATCTCAACGCCCAGGACGCCTAGGGCCAGCGGAAGGAGGTCAGATGCTTTTGCGGAAACTCTTGCTTCAAGCCTTTACCTACATTGCGGCTCGCCTCTGTCCAGGTAAAGGCCAGAGAACTTGCGTTATAACGGTG